ACAAACAAAGATGCTCTGTCTGTATCGGGCAGTAAACCCTTCCCCCACACAGGAAAAGAGTAGTCACTCATGTGAAGTTTCTCAGGACAGCTAAGCACAGAAAGACATCAGACTAAAAATATTCCTTTACAATAGGGACAACACATTTGCTGTACCTGATGCAGAGGCACTGACTGCTTGTCTGATTTTCTGAATTTTGTCAGTGAAAAAGGAGGCAAAATCATTGCATGCCCTGGTGGATAGAAATTCAGAGGCTACTGACACTGGGGGGTTAGTTAGTCTGTCGACGGTAGCGCACACACACACCACACACACACACACACACACACACACACACACACACACACACACACACACACACACACACACACACACACACACACACACACACACACACACACACACACACACACACACACACACACACACACGCTGTGGTGGTCTCTAACATGGCTGTTCCACATGAAGGCCTGGTGCTGGGTAGAATGAAGGATTTGGGTTGAGAAAGCTGCATTGCCGCCTTGTAAGTAAAGGAGCGGCTCTGCAGTGTGCTGCTGACGGGCTGACCCTGTGTAGGAAGGGCAGGCTCACGGGATTGTTTTAAGTCGTTTTTTCCTCTGACTGTAAAGCACTGCATTGTATTCTGTTCGGAGAGGAGCACAGAGGAGCTTAATTCATAAAGCTTTCTTTTGAAAAATGTAAATCTTCCCTGGCTGTTAAGCTTGCGGAAAACCTGCCTCAAACTTTTCCAGATTGTGGATGTTTTGTATTCCTCACTTACTATTGCTGCGATGTGCTTTGAAGTTACTCTCGGAAAAAGGAGCATTGAAGCATGCTGACCTTTTTAAAGATGTGTCGTTTTCCAATATGTTACAGACTTTTTATGTGAAATATAGAATGGTCTGAAAATTACCATATGGAACATTAGATCATTTGACATTTCTGGCCAGCTGTTTCTTCACATTTAGCCTAATTGAGTGCAATTTATCAGTTACACACTAACAATAAGCTAATGTCAGCATATAATGATGAATCAATACGTATGAATCTCAGTGGCTTTGTGTAAAGGTCACAATGAAGGAAACGCTATGGAGACTGTGGAACATTTGAAATAAACTCCTCGTTTGCCATCTGTCGCACCAGAAGGATCATTTTAAATGATGAACGTAGTAGAGCACGAGTGAAAAAAATACATTTTGTACAAATAAAATCGTATTTCACAGTCAGACTCCAATTTGTGAATGAACTGCAGAGTATTGTATTGAGGTCACCCGAAGTATATTTTCTGTTAATGGATCGTCAACATTAGACAGGGCTATATGCCTCCCTTGAGTTTCCATTGCCAGTTTGTTCCCGCATCAGCCCTTACCCCATCAACTCACACACACGCGCGGTTTCCTTGGCCGTCTCCCAAGGCGGTCAAACAGATTACTACGGGCGTTAACCTCATCGATCTGCTCCAAATGGCCTCCAAATGCCAGGAATTAGATTTGAGACGCGGCAAGAGGGAAATAAAACGCTGTAATATTTCTTGCTGCTCAACTTGGGAGTTAAGTGCTGCTGTGCCTTGGCCATTGTACCAGTTCTTCATCGGACCTCCTCTGCCTTTGGTAGCACAGTTACATTAGTCTCCTTTATGCCTCGTTTAGAGCGTATTTATCTGAGGAAATTGTGAAGTACGATACAGCCTGTACCCAAATGTCTCTTTCACTGCTCGGGAAATCCTTGAAAAAATAAATAAAGTGCTTTTCTAAGGATGTGAAAAGAAAGAACTAGAAAGAGAGGTTATTTTAACTCTCATTGTTCTCATGTACTGAATTCAGGGACAAAAGAGATTCAAACTAATCGATACAAAATGGGCTTAGATTTTATATCGAAATGCCTTTTCTCCGTAACTGATGGACTGTAGGCTAATCTGCAGGGCACCCTGTGCAGCGGCTGAGCATCACCCACTGAATCAATCTCAGTCATGAATTGCTCCATTGTTGGGTAATAATGGAGGGCAGGTTTATAATACTGGTTGCTTCTGCTTTATTAGTGAGCTGATACCTCTCCTCTCCGGTCTTTCTCTCCATCTATTCAACGTGTATCTGCCCTTTCTTCCACCAGCCCATGGACTTGCTGCTTTACTCTTTGTGTCCCGTTACAATCCGACGCCTCTCCCCCGTCCGTCTTGCTTTGTCCATCTGGCATTAAGCTCTACAGTCTTTCTTAACTGCAAAAAGTATTGATGAGTGGTCGTGCTGCCTAATGAGAGGCTAAATATAATCATTGCACACCGGCCCTGCTGCGGCCTCCTCCCTTATCTCGTGCACAAAGTGTGGATAGTCACACTGTTGGCATGACAACACACCGGTCAAGGCTCTGTGATCAGCCACAACAGATTTTGTGCATGTGTGCCCGGTAAAAGTACAAGAGGATGAAAGTACAGCCGGGATGAACAGAGAATGTGAGGAAAGAAAGAAAGCTTTCTATTTTATTTTAGCTAGTTGCTTTTCTTTCCCTTGCTGATCTTTTTTTTTTCCGCCCTGAAAGAGCTTGAGTTTCTCATATTGGCATTCATTACTTACTGTAACTTCACATGAGTGATTCCATAGTCATCTGAGAAAATTAGATATATAATTAGAACTAAAATGGTTAGTTAATGAATCGTTTAGTAGACCGAAAGAAAAATAATTGGTAATTATTTTGTAAATCGATAAAACGTTGAGGTCATTCATCAAACAATAATGACACAATTTGTTAAGATACAGCTTCTTAATATGGAGACTTTGCTTCTGTTATTTGTCTTGTGTCAAAATAAACTGAGGATATTCATATTTTGAAAAGTCGGGTGAACAAAAAACGGCAATTTAAACATGTTTTCTTGGGCTATGGGAAACTGTGATGGGATATTTTACCGACCAAATGAGTAATAGATTCATCAGGATGAAAAACAGCACATGAGTCCGTCAGATGCTCCCCACCCCCTGCTTTGAAATGCTGTAAACCATTTTCTGCAGAGGGAGGAACATAACCATTCTTTACCACCTACACGACATTGTCACTCTCCTTAATAAATCAGCTTCAACCTGCAATATCACCAAGCTCTATTGTACTCATGTTGACAAGTTTAGTTGCCCACATTTCTCTTCTGTTGCATGGTAACCAATCAGAGTCACCATCCAACCAACCATCCTTGTTATGGCCAGCTGGAGAGAAATGAATGATAAGAGTATGCAAATGGGATATCTTCTTTAATAGCCTGCTGTTTTATTCAGCTGTGTGGCCAGGATAAGGAATCCCCACTGTGTCTAATCACATCCTCTCCCTCTCATTCCACCTGAGGCCTATCAGCAATCTAGTTCATTTTTGACTGACATTACAGCATACATTGTTCTCCACCAGCATGAACGTACATGCATCAAAGAGGAACCTTAATTTCATCAGCAGATGTTCTTCTACTTCAAAAATCAAAGGGCATTCACACTAAAATAATCTGACGACTTAAATCATATGATTAAATCAGACTGGAGGGCTGTGTGGACGATGGCTGTATCAGCAGCTCATCGTGTGACTTTCAAGGTTGTCTCTGACATCCACCTTAATTTAGGGCTCAGCGACGATCATCCTCAGCTCAAAACGAATTGACCCGACAAGAGATGAACACAGGTTGTTCAAATGTGTCAAGCCCGCAGCAATGTTACCTGGCTTGCCCCTAATACAGTAACCATCAGATCACAACACACGGTCCTACATGTCTGGTTTGGAGAATCATTCCTCCACATTCGATTTTCTGTTTTTCATCCTGCTGCTCTTCAGAGGGAAATCTCATTCAGTTGCCGGCTGATGGCTAACAAGGTCAAATAACTCTCAAGATGAGAGGGAGTGTGTTGGAAGACGCTAACATACACACACACACACACACACACACACACACACACACACACACACACACACACACACACACACACACACACACACACACACACACACACACACACACACACACACGCGCACACACACACACACACACACACACACACACCACACACACACACACACACACACACACACACACACACACACACACACCCTGCCATTCAGTCAGTCCATCTATGCCTCACAGGAACAGAATTGAGCGGCAGTAATGGAGGACTGAGGAGGGAAGTGTTTACTGCTGATAGGAATATCATTACAAACTGTGGAAATCAGAGAATAACAGCAAAACCTGTTGTCAATCATGTAGCAATCAATAGTAAGCTACACCGTTTCTATTTCTCCTATCTCTCTCTCTCCTCCCTTTTTCGCACACTTTTTTCCTCCGGTTGCTATAGTGATGTGAAATGGCTGCGTTCTGCAGTGTGGATCAGAGCGGGGGCTCGCTCTGTGAGATACATCGCTTTAAATGATGCTTTCAAAACACACAACCAAGGCTGTAATTACTGTGTGTTAGCATATGCCTCTGCGCTCAGAGAGTATAATAAATTAAATGTTATTTAAATGTCACATCGTTTTTCATAAACAGTAGGCCTATACATTACAATAAACTGACACCAGTGGCTATACTTTTTTGTAGTGCATCCATCACAGTATGTCAGAGTATAATGACATTGTGTACACGGAAGTTTTTCTTGGGCAGCTGGTAATTATAGATTAACTCACAGATTATGGTATGGCCAGACTTCTTTGACTAATATCTAAAACAATCTAATTTTCTCTGAATAAAGAAACGAAAATAATTTATAATGTGTGTATTTGTTGCAGAGTCTGTATCTTAAAATATGGAATTAATATGGATTTGTACATTATTTTGTCTCGTGCCAGTCTCATTGTAGCCCAACATTGGCTGGAATATGTAACTTTACCTCCCTTACTCTTCCTGCAGTATATCCTTGTTCTACTTCCTCTTGAGTTTTACAATAACACTTAACACAAATCTCTCTTTTTCTTGTGTCTTCTTCTTCCCCCCCTTTCTTCCCGCTCCCACCTCCATCTTCACCCCCTCTCTCCATGTATAGTGTGACAACGCCAAGGGGCTGAGGGCCTTCTTCGATGCCATATGCTACGGCCCCAAACACCTGATGATCTTCGGCGGCGTGTGCCCTTCAGTGACCTCCATCATCGCAGAGTCTTTGGAGGGCTGGAACCTGGTGCAGGTAGGGTTTGCACTACGATGGGGTGTGTGTGTGTGTGTGTTATACTGTATATAGCCAATGTTCCAGTGTTTGTGAATCCTGGATTTGTTTCGCCAGTACAAAATAGACTTGCTTATTCCTTTTGTACTTTTTTATACATGGTTATTTTCTTGTTTCTCTGCGTTACTATCAGAAACCCTGAACTCGCTGCTTGATTAAGTTTCCAAAAAAAAGATATTGCCCCTTAGAAGTGCAGTGTGCAGATAGGACCTGGGTTTCAAAGGGGTCCTAACTCATGGCTTAATCCTTCATTAACCTTGCCAGGGTGAATGTCTAATTAGCATTACTCTAATCCGTACAATCCTCCCTCATTTTAGGATCTGACAGAGTTAAAAAAGGCTTAAACCCATTGTGGTAGTTTAGCTCAACTTCCACTGAGCCTTAAAATTGAAGAAAACATGTTGTCAAATGATAAGGGCATCTCCTGTGGCATATGTTTGTGGGGTGTTTTGTCATCGGTATGAGCTAATAAAAGTTTTACTACACAGTCCAGTCGATGTTAATTACCTGCTGAACATTCACATAATAGATTCTACCATTCAATTATGCGCTTGCTTGCTGAATGACATTTGCTGCCATTAAATTGGTGCAGCTTTATGATTGCTCACTGTTGGCATTAAACACCACTCGTTCTTGTATGTGGTGAACTTTTGACCCCCTCAGTTATTGCATACAGTTTCTCTGACTGTGAACTGTAATGCAGAACCAAAGAGGGGAAATGCTTCCTTCCAAACAATACATTTAATTCGCCACAAACCCTACAAAGGTTATCGGGCACAGATAAGAAAAGGAGTGAAGCTCGTGCTTGGAAGTGATAATAAATTCAAGAGGCTGCATTTTGAACTGAATGTCACATTACTTGGCATATTTATACCGCTTGCAATTACTGTGAATCTGCTGCTTTTCATGTTCCTTTCTGCTCGCTCGCCTTGTCAGGGTCACTCGAGTGAAAGATCGGCAGGATGAGGGAATGAAAGGAGGAGTCATTTTTTGTTTCTGTGTTTACTGCTTTTCCGTGGTAATGATCTCAGTCTAGAAAGAGGCGTTCCAGCCACAGTTGAACATGAAGTGCTCTCAGGTATTTGTGTGTTTGTATGTGTGCTTCCTCTTTCTATTTATTGGCTTGTTTGTCAGTGATTACCTGTGAGAAGTGCAGTAGCAATCTCCTGCTCTGCAGAACACTGCCTGGTGCAATGTGTTCCCCAGAGCACTTTACCAACCAGGCTCTTTCCCTATACACACAGACCAACAACAACCAATTCATGCCGGTTTGATCCTAAAAAGACTTTGTCTGAACACCAGACGAAAAGTGATTTAGTGAAAATGTGAGGAAATGGCTTAGAAAAGACCTTGAATGAACCTGTGTTTAAAGTAGATGCCTTTTACATGTAGATGTAACACTTGTATTCAATGGCAAGGGTGAATGTTGTTTATGTTGCTACAAGCAACTAAATAGCTTTTTAAGGCAAGACAAGTGTGTAGTTACAAGGGCAATCTGAAGGTATTTATTTATATAAGTTAGCTTTCCAGCAGCATGCAACAACTCTTTACACGTTGAATCTGGGGCTGTGATTTGTTTTATGACACAGGGCTTATGATTCAATATAATGAGGGACTGAAAGTATGGCTATATAACACACAACCTTATATGCAGGAAATCTGAGAAGCATTTCTACTTTATGTGTAATCTGAGTCCATGTCTGCCACTGATTTTTTAATCTAAACTACCTGTGCAGTGTTTCTGACAATACATACAGCTTTACAAAACACAAGACATAATTATCTGCCTTTACTATTAGTCTACAAACAAGTAAGTGCAAATATGTGCATGTGTGTGTTGTGAATCTGATGTGGCGGTATATCAGACTCTTGGTAGCAGTTTTATGAGATGCAAGATGTCCATGCAGACCAGAGCTACATCCCAATGACTCACCAAGCAGCCATAATGTTCACTGGAAATCTGGAGAAAGACACGTCAGTGGATGTAAACAACTCACCAGATAGCTATTAGTTGTCCATTGGAGCATAAATTGGCAGAAAGGTAGCACCTGTGTGTTTAGCTATCATGTTCTTACCAAGCTGGTGCTTGCACCTGCCAGCCAGACTGTTGGTCTGAGCCTCTCTGCTCCATCTGTGAGCCAATTGACTTTCATGAGTTCCCACTGAACATGTGTGTTCGTTGGTACCATGTGTGTATGGGTATGTGTATTCAGAAGAGACGGACATCTCTCTGACCGACAGCTTTGGTGGGATGTAGTATTTTTCTGAACGAGGGAATAAAGAGATTGACTAAGACAATAATCAAAGTGAAAGAGAGAAAGGGAAGTAGAGATGATTGGAAGTTTTGAATCATGAACCCCACACAATTAATATTCATCAGTAGGATTTTTGTTTTTTTAAACGGTACTAAAACTGTCATTCTGCATATTCATTACCCAGCCCTGGCACCCGGTTAGCCAAATCTGATGTTGTGTGGAGGGAAAAAGAGAGTTGTTCATGAAGTCTTTAAGGGCCAGGCTTAATAAGCTCATCATTTCCACATCAAAACAGGGAGCTGGCTGATACCTTCTACAGTAGAGAAAGCTGACAGAACAACCACCCCTGGAAAAAGCTTATTCGTACACCCATAAAAATAGCTTTCAATCATTCCTGATGCCTAATGAAGTCTGCTTTGAAAAGCTGAACAAAAATAAACTCAATTGCATACACTGCATCGTGCTCTATGCAAACATTTGAATGACTTAAAAAGCAACACTGGTATTACAAGAGCCAATGATTTTGTACTAAAATACTTATTTTATTACCAGATGTTAGAACTATGGCTTTAAAAGCAATGTATCCCTAAACCTCCCTTATAAGGATTAGGATATGATACAACAATTCACAAACTAGTAATGCTCATCGAGACGATTGAGGAAGGAGAAAAAGAGGCAGACAAAAAAAGATAAGATATATATATAGAGCAATAGTTTGTGCCTTTTAATTTAGGCAATGCAATTGTGTATCAATTTCATTTTGTAGTGCGCTTCAACTGCAGAATATGTAGCATTTGTGTACCAAGAAATGCCCGGATGGTTACTAGATTTAGCTATTTCTATAGTATGAGTAGTGAGTGTGGTTAGATGCTCCCAAAGTGCATTGCGGCTCCTCAGACTCTCCAATATGGCAGACTGAGACACAGACAGTTTAAATAATTCATTGTAAGTCAGTGACGTTAAGATACAGTTAAAAGGAGTATGCCAGAGATCACATATAAAATGTAACGTAAAAGACGTAGGGAAAAGTAAAGGAGGTATTTTTGATTTACATATTTGATCAGCAGTTTTAATTTAAAGATAGGGCAGACATGTAACCATGTGATTGATACAGTCATGTGACGCAGAAAAAACATATTGCCTGAGTGTATTTCAGCGCCAACAGTCTGCAGGTAACAGCATACGTAATCATACATTTAGTAGGCAGAATGCAGTAGTACATTTTGATTAGTAATAAAACAATATACTTTCACCTTTTCAGTACTACAAATTGTGATTAAGACAATGCAACATTCATGACGAGAGAAACAAACCTAAGACTTAGCGTAGCAGGCAAAGATATTTCCAAGATTTGTTATTTTATCAGCCATAGTTAATGGTCCATCAAGTTCCTCAATGTGTGGCTCTGTGAGACTTCCACCAACTGTCAGGCTGGAGAAATATCAGATAATGAACAGGGTGCAGCCGAGGGCCAACATGGTGAGAGACAAAAAAGACACTTCCTGCTGAAATGTGTCCAATGTAGGAAATGAAACCTCATAAAACAATCCATCAAGGTCATCACATCCACAGCCACTGTGCTCCAAGAGATAAGACTGTAATAAAAGTGGTCAATTGGTGGTTAATATGATAGCAGATTAGCTTGCTTGCTAGGCTAACCCTATCGCTCAAGATTCAAGATGCAAGGCTTTTATTGTCATTCGTACATAGCTACAGTGTAGTTATGTCGATGAAAATCTTAGGTCCCGGGCTCCTCCAACAGTGCAACACAATACGATACGATATTACTTTATTTGTCAGATCAAGTCTGAAATTTGACTTGCGTCACAGCAGCTCCATGTCCAACATCAACAGACAAGTATCCAGACACAATACATGAAACACAAACAACAAACATTTAACATAACAGCACAATCAGTGAGAGAAAACATACTCAAAGAGCCTTTAGCGTGCATTTGATCTGGGATTTAGCTCTGTTTACTGTGAGGATTGACTGATGCACAAAGGAGTGCTTCAGTCTGACTTTATTGAATCGTGGGACCCTGTATCTCCGATTAGATGGTAGCAGTTCATATTCACTGTTCAGAACATGGTTTGGGTCAGAGATGATGTTGTTGGACAGCCTCACTAGGTTGTTATGATAGGCTGAGTCATAGAGTCTCTGACAGGGTTTACCAACAATCTTTGAGCAGATTTTTAACAGGTGGAGCAGTTTTGATTTTAAAGCTGCTGACAAACATTTGTACCCGGTAGTATTGCAGTACTGTAGAATGGACATGATCACAGATGTAAAGAACAACAGAAGAATTTCTCTGCTCGCCCCAAAAGACCTAAGACGGCGGAGAAAATAAATTCTTTGTTTTGTCCTTTTGCACAGATATTCAATGTGATCCTTCCATGACAGCAGATGGTCAATCATTACACCCAAGTGTTTGTATGAAACTCCCTGCTTGATTTCATCTGTATGGATGACAATGGGGACTTTATGGGAGTCAGATGGTGAGCCAAAAAATGATTTCCTCAAGTTTTCTTGGTGTTGATCTCAAGAGCATTGCTATCAGTCCACTCGACCACCTGATTTACAGCCTGTTGGTGCAGCTCATGGTCGTCTGTGTTACTGAGCATAGATATTATTGCAGTATCATCAGAGTACTTAATGATGACTTGATTTGGTGTGTTGGTACGACAATCATCAGTGTAGTGAGT